CGTATGTCAAATTTCTGATATTGTTACAAGAGTAATTTGATCATTTAGATAAATTTATTAATGATAGAAAAATTTCTGAGGACTTCATTAAAATTATTATATTTTGAGAAATCAAATTTTTATTTATATAATTTAAAAAATTTTATTACTATTTTTTTCTTTTATTTATGGTAAAAAAAGAAAAAAATAGAGAGTGGGAAAAAGAAAATTGGTATGATAATTGTTACTGTATAACAGTTTTTTGAACAGTAATAATGAGAGTTATTTTTATTTATGGTTAAAAAGAAAAAAAATAAAAAAAGAGAGTGGAAGAAACAAAGTTGGTGGGATAAAATAGTATTGGTATGTAGATACAAACATTAATAAATAATAAAAAAATTGAAGGTGGGACCCTTAATAAAATAAAAAAATTAATTTATAAGAATAATAAAAAGACACATGTTATTAATTTTAATTTACACAAAATAAAAAAATATATTATGAAATGGTTTGTTCCTTACTTTTTTAATATGCACTAGTAAATAAATTGTTCATATTTTTAATATGTATCAGAATAATAAATTGTAAAAAAAAATGATGTTCTTATTCAAATAATTTCTAATAAATGAAGCATATGAGATAATAAGTCATAAATGATTGACTTTTAAATAGGCAATTGGAGGTGAATTTATACCTGCCACCACATATTTTTCCATCCTTTGTTTATTAATATGGCACCTTAAATTTAGGGTTTAAAAAATAAAATTCATAGAATTTTGGCCCCAAGAATTTACTAAATGAAAATTTTTTTGGTACATTACTGAATGAAAAATATGGTCCCCATAAATAATATACTCCAGAATAATAAATTATTGGTAAAAAATATTCAATTAGGTTCCCAATAAATTGAAATTTCACTGTAAGCTTAGAGCACTAAAAAAAATAAATTTTCTTACTTAAACGATCAAAATACCCTTCAATTATGACTAACATTATTGAAATAACAAGTTTAGTTATAACTTTTATAAGTAATATTAATAAAATAATAAGTCAAATTATGATTTTTATAATTAATATTATTATTATAATATACGTTAAGTTATAATTTTTACAAGTAATATAATTAAAATAATAAGTCAAGTTATATTTTTACAAGTAATATTAGTAAAATAATAAAATAAGTTACAATTTTTATAAATAACATTGCTATAATAACAAGTCAAGTTATGATTTATACAAGTAATATTATTATAATAACTAGTCAAGTTACATTTTTTACAACTAAAATTACTAGAATAATAAGAAATTATGTTTATTTTATTAATATTAATATTACTTATAAAACATGTAACTTGACTTGTTATTATGCTACTATTACTCGTAAAAATCACAAGTTGATATTACAACAAAACAATACATTTCTCTCATAATTATTTTAAGAAAAAACACATAAAATCATGAGAAAAAAGATTTCTTTTGGATTTCCTCTAAAAAATTTTTAGTGAGTTAAGATTTATAGGAATTTTTATTTTTTCTCAAAATATTTGGAGAGAAACAATTTTTTCTCGGATTAATTCGCAAGAAAATGTTTCTCACAGAAAAATTTAAGAGAAACTTCTCTCAAATTTATTTAACAGAAATATTTTTTTAAAATTTTTTATGAGAATTTTCTTTTAGAAATGTTTTGAGAGATATTTTTCACAAAGTATATATCAAGAGAAATTCCCTAAAAAATTTAGATAGCATATTAAAAATTAAATTTTATCCCCTCCAACATGCAAGCCATGTTGTGCAATATTATCTATTATGTGAGCATCCAAGTGATGCCATGTGATTGGTCATGTCATGCCCATATTTATTTTACAAATATATGTCTTACATTGGAATTGGAATAGAATCTATGATCTTGGCTTCACCTTTAGTGTCTACTTTTTTGTTAGTTGAACTATAATAAATTTGATATTTTAAATTAACAAAATTAAATATATATTACTGCACTATATACTTTTATAAAGTTCATATTATTTTATTTAAAAAAATTAATTTATAATATAACATATTTTTAAATGATTTTAATTTATTTGACCTCAACAAATAATTTCAAATTTTTTAATAATTTAACCAATAATTTTATAATATATTATTTAATTTAACTTGATTTAAAAATAAATTATATTAATTTTTAAATTATTTTTTAATTATATACTTTATTTTTAATTTTTAATTTTTCTATTTTAGTTTTTAAATCTTATAATAATATTTTTACAAAATTATTTAATATAATTTGAAATTTTTTAAATTTTTTATTTTTTTTAAGAAAAACACTTTTAATAGCAATAGATTATCATCACTAAAGAGAAATTTTAACAAACATTTTCTTACTCAATAAGTGGCCAAAATGTTTTGCATACCAAAAAAAAAAAATTTGCCTAGCAAGCCTATCAAAAATGTGAACCAAAGCAATATGTTTGCGTGTTCTCCTTGCAGTTAATAAGACTATAACTTAATATTGTTTTGTAGAGTTACTTAATTTTTAATATTTTAAAACTAAATAAGTTATATTATATATACATATACATACATATATAATTATATAAATAATTTTTCTCAATTGAAAAATTGAAATATAATGCAATTTAATTCTATATGTAATTTTTTTTAGCAAACTTATATATTATAGATGTGTATGACAAATTAATATTGATATTACTATATAAATCATAATATTATATTATATAATACTTTAACATAAATCATCTCTCTGTATAAATAATTATTAGTTAATTAACACTATTTCATTTTTTTAAAATTTATTCTTTGTTGTTTTTTTGTTATCCAAAATACCCTCACAAGCAACAGCCATGAGATTTGTTGTTTTTTTAATTGCATACAAGTATCGAATGTAAATTCAAGTAGAGATTTAAATTTTAGTTTATTATATTATAATGTTAGACCTAGTCTCTATTAGTGTCTATCCCCTCTTATTTTATAGTTTTTTGTCACATTTTAGACTATCTCATTTAATAATATACAAAATATGAGTATTGAGTAAATAATAATATTTATTTATAGTTTCTTAGAAAAATTTGAGAGAAATTTAACATTTTTCATGATAAACTTTAAAAAAAGGTTTCTCTCAAAAAATTTGAGTCTCAAGTTATTTTAATAAAAAATTTTAAATAATTTAAAAATAATTTTCTTTCAACTTGTTTTGAGAGAAACATTTCTCTTGATTTAATCAAAAAAAATTCTTTTTAATTGATTTGAGAGAAGTTTTTTTTTTTTTACAAAGCCAAGAGAATATTTCTCTCAACTTAATTTGAGAGAAAGTTTTCTCGACTTTTTTTGAGAGAATATTTCTCTTTGTATTATCTGAGAGAATTCATTAAATTTCTCTTAAATTTTGTTGAGAGACTTTTTTTGAGAGAATATTTCTCTTTATATTATCTGAGAGAATTCATTAAATTTCTCTTGAATTTTTTTGAGAGAAAGCTTCTCTCAAAAAACTTAAATAATTTTTTATTTATTATCAATTTTTTATTTTTGTCAAATATTTCTTATGGATTAAAATGAGAAAATTTTTTTGTCATGAAGTAGGTTTTTTCCTTTAATTTTCTCATATTGTTCTCTCAAAATTTCTCTCTATTTGGGTTTCCATAAGAAATTATGCAATTAATTTCTTAGAAAAGAATTTTTGAGAGAACTTCTCTCAAGTATTTTTTTGAGAGAAAATTCTATGAAAAAATTATTGTTATTTTAGTAATGCTAATTATAATTAAAGAGCATTTTAGCTATTTAAGAAAAAAAATTATTTCATTTCAATGCTTCAAGCCCATAGTGAAATTTCTTTTTTGAGACTCACTTAAAATTATATCACACCCAAGAAACTTTAATGAAATTCTCCCTAAATTGTTTTTAAAATTTTAATATATATGGCAGTATGGAGTAACAGAATCTAAAGTAACTTTGTAAAAAAATTACAAAAAAATAAAACACATTACTTATATTCTTATTCTTAGTATTCAAAAAGAGTGACAAATATGTGGCAAAAATGAGAGAGTAACAAATATTAAAAAAAATACTAAAGTATATTTTTAGTTCTCTAATTTTATATGATAAATTTTTAATTTAATCATTTAATTTTATAATTTATCTTTTTAATCATTTAATCTTAACATCGTTAGTTTTAACTAATTTTTTTTCCATCAATTATTGTTGTTTTGAAAAAATGAAACTTAATATATCAACATTTGAGAATGTTTTATTAATATTTAAAAGTTAAATATAAAAATTTAGAATAAAACTAATAATATTAGAGTTAAAAGATTAAAAAGATACTTTATAAAGTTAATAACTAAAATTAAATGTTATGTAAAGTTAAAAGATTAAATGTATATTTTAGTTTAAAAAAAATAACAAATTCAACTTGCACAAATTTTAGAAAGGTAGGAGTTTGAAATTTTAATTTACACAAAATATGTTTTTTTGTAATAAAATAATATGTTCCTTTATTTTTTTATAAATAAAAAGTAATAAATTAGAGAATAAAATAAATTTTTATTTGTATTTAAATTGTGTACAAGAGTGACAAAATGTAAATAATAATAAATTGTTGTTAAAAAAATATGACAAAAGGGACGTATGTGGTAATAAATAATAGAATTAAATATGTTGGTCAAAGTTTTGTAATATGAATATTTAAAAAAATCATAAGATAAGACAAGTCATTATTTATATTTTAATTTGCATGGGTAAACAATTTGAAAATAAATAAGTTGTTATTCATATTTTTAATGTTCATAAGCATCGGAAATTATCAAATAAACATGTTACATACATTTAAAAAAAAATGTTGGAAATATAGGTTCACAAAAAAATATTAGAATCGCAATCATTTTCAATTTTTCATATTTGATTAACTTAAAATAAAAATCAAATTATAAATTGAAAAGACAACAATATCCCTACACTATTTTTTTCCCTTCACAGTTCCCAACATCCTTTTGGTCATTTCCCTGACCAACTTCATCCTTCTCAGTTCTCTCCGTGGCTTCTGAAACTTTCTTCACCCTCGCCGTCCTCTCCTCTCGACTCCGTTGCTCGGTGCGTCTTCATCTTCCGTGCTGAGCGTGCTACAAGCTGGTACTCGTGTGGTGTCCTTCCATCAAGTCACAGCGAACAGGTTAGTCTAATATTCTTTCGGTCCCATTACTTCCGATTTCCTTAATTTACTCTCTCTTATCTCCTTTACGAAGGTATCCCTTTCTACCTCTGGTTTTTGAGTCTCTTCACAAGCATGCATTTGGGTCTGAGGTACTTGTTATGCTTTCTATATTCGATTCATGTCTGATAGTTGAATGCTACGTGTTTGTATTTTTGCCTGTGAGAAGCTGCTTGCCGTGACAACAGTTGTATCTATAGCTATTTTACTTTTGAAACATTGTCTGTGTGTGACTGTGGATCACAATTTCTCTTGTTTAGGACATGCACAGTAGTTGAATAACTTGATTTACATATTTAGTTTCAAAACTTATAATTAGAAAGGGACGCTAGATTTTTACAAAAAACAGTGGAAGTACCCCTAAAATAAATGTTTTTAAGTATTCTAAATACTCAAGGACATTCATAACATATGCTTTGAGAATTACTCGCTGTAAATTTCAATACCCTATTGTTATGGATGGTTTTTTTTCTTTTTTCTTTTTTAAAATTGCGTGTGTTCCCTTCCTTTTCCAGTTGGTTTTCATTTTTCACTGTCTTATGGGCTTTCTTGCTTCTTAGTTAAAATTTTAAGTGGAGGTATTTCTGGCCCCGAAAAACTTTAAACACTGTATGGCAAGAGGGTCTATATTATGGGTTTATCAGATTCAGGAAGTGGGTTTGCTCCATTTCATTTAACCTGAACTAATGTTTTTTTTTTATTGTAGAGATTAATTATTATAGAGGTAAAGATAGCTTATAATGCCCGATGTCTTGATGTTTAGAACACCATTCCTATGTGAGGCATGTGCTGTCAGCCTCAAAGGTCTAGGTCAATCAACCATTATTGTCATGTTAGCTTCAATCAGACAACCTGAATTGTATTCATTCTGGCCATCATTCTCAAAGGGAAGTTTTAGGTTCTAAATGATATTTTAGTTTTGCTATAGTTTTTGAATATAATAAACTCTGTTAATGATACGCCTCTTAATTAAAAGAACTTGAACTATGGATCTGCTTTAGCTTCTCATACTTTCTCATCAAATCCTCAATTCCTCTTGGCGGAAACAAAGCTAAGAATATAACATTTCCAGCCGGTTTGGGTTAGGAAAAAGATAAATTAGATAAAAGTTTTAATTGTTGGCTGAGCCATGTGGATTTATTGACTATGGTTACCTCTGTTAATTCTGTGAATAAATATAATGAAGGCTAAGAACTTATACATGAATATAGTGAGAGTAAAGGCCAAAGAATATGAGCCTATTTGAAAACTCGTTCTGAGAATAGTTTTCTGTTCTCTAGAATAAAAAAAACAAAAAAATTTGTTTGGTAACGTATTTTTAGAAAGTTTTTTGGAAAAAAAAAATATTGTTATAGAGAATAAAAAACGGAAACATTTTTTAGATGTTTTGGGATTATTGTTTTGGAGAACAAAGGAGAATGAGAAAAACACCTATTCTCATTTTTTTCCTCAAAATGTGTTACAAAACACCGGTTCTCAAAACAAAGAAACAAAAACAGTTTCAAACAATATTTCTTGTGTTATTCAGATGATGGCCAAACAATATATTCAATATTTTCAGAGCAGGAAATTAGGGATGTGCAAAATAAAAATCGATCCTAGAGATATCTGACTATTTACAGAATAAACATAATGAAGGCTAATAACTCATAATAATTATTCCAATTTCCCACATACCGGGTTCGTAATTACATAGTTTATATTTTAAAAATGAGCAAATATGTCAGAGAGTTTGAAGATGGCATTTGTTACGAGTTCCTAAATGTTGTTGGCATTGTCTGTTGAGAGCTTTGGAGAAGTATATGGTAGCCGTGCATAGCATTTTTTTTTTTCCGGTTATGAATCTACATGACTTTTTGCACAATTTGATTCAGGTTAACTTCTAAACATTATCCATGAAGCTCTATGATGGATTTATGGAGATATTGAAGATTCAAAAGTTCCGTAGATTGGTATCTTATGTTGGGTTCTACAGCTTTGTCGCAGTTCTGAGTTATGCTTATACTGGCAATACGTGGGTTAGATAATTGTTGAAAACTTATTGTAAATGGACTGATATGAGATTGTTTTTCATATTAATCTCAAGTTTGTTGGTGTATGTTTTTGGTTTTGCAGAACAAGGGCTGGTTATTCCAGAGCTGATCAATTCTATGCATCTTATCCAGCTGGAACTGAGCTTTTAACAGATACTGCTAAGGTATTTGGCTGTTTGCCTGTAAATTGGAAAAATGAGTTAATTTGTCTGATATTGTTTTAGTCAAAGTCTGCTGATAGTTTATTGAATCTATTATTAGTTATACAAAGCAGCCCTGGGCAATTGCTTTGAAGCTGAGGAGTGGGGTCCAATTGAGTTTTGTATCATGGCAAAACATTTTGACCGTCAAGGAAAGTCACCATATGCATACCATGCAGTAAGTTACACAATGCGTATATTTGTTTCTGTTAGTGATGTGCAGACAATTTTCATTTTTAATGGAGCTACATCTTTATTTTGTGCATGTAAAGTAGGAGAAAGATTGATGTTGTTATTCATTCATCTTAATCTACCATTTCCCTTTAAAAAAGAAATTAAATTTTGTCCACCTGGCTATGGTTGATATCATGGGAGGTGGATTTTATTTATTGGTGTAAATAAAGCCACCACCCGTACAGTTTTGAAGAATATCACATTATTTGTAATTAAATTTAAATCATAATGACAGAAATATTAGTGAACCGTACTCATAAATCAGACCTTATTGTCTATATATATATATATATATATTTATTTTATTTCATGAAGAATTACCATGTTCTTTGTTGTTTTTTTTTTCCAGCTAAGGTAATTTTTTAGCCGCCTGGCAGAAGGAATGAGATTTTGTTTAAAGCAAGCGTTTCCACTTGTTGCCCCTTTCCTTTTTCTTTTGTTCTTCAGAAAAGTTGTCAACGAAATCATCTATTATGATTAAAATTTAAAAGTAAGCCTTCTCACATTTCAACTTCAGTGACACTTTGGAATATGATCAAAAGTTGGTTCCCGAAATATGGTCAAAAGCTGGTTCCCCCTTTCTATAAAAAGTTAAAATTCATTTTTGCTCTTGAACTATAATCTCAAGAGCACCTGATGTCTTCAACTCAACTTTGAATTCTTCCTTTTAAGCTTCAAAACCAGATTATTATTGCCCCTGTTGTTAGTTGAAGTTAAGTTTGATCGTTAACTAGCGTGTCAAGGAGCAATTGGATCCATGTCAGCATTTAACAATCAAACTTAACCTTAGCTAACAGGGGGCAAAAATGATCCAGTTTTGAGAGTTTATGGGGAAGAATGCATCAAAGTTAAGCTTAGGACATTGGGTGATCATAGGAGCATAATTCAAGGGCAAAAATAGACCTTAATCCTTATATAAAACCAGTATGTGAATGTCAGAACTGGAAACTCTGGTTCATTATGTTAGCCGTCTCAAATAAGATGTCTGATGTTAGCATCTCTCTTTTTGATCCTTTTTATTCATGACGTGGATACTTTTTTTTTTTTTGCCAAAATTATTACGTGTATACATATATATTGTGTCTCTGAATTATTGCAGCAATATATGGCACACCTCCTCTCCCTTGGACAACTTGATGGAAGTGGTTAGCTAGTAAGGTGGATGTCTTGTTGACACATGACAAATTGGTAGCTAGCAATTAAATTCAACAGAGAGTAAGATTCAATTGCTTGATGAGTTTTGTTATACTTGGAATGCTAGAACCTTAATTTGAGCAAGTAAAAAGGGGGCAAAAAGAAAGAAAAAGAAGTGCTGTAAATGCTACATATCTTATTTTCCTTGTTATGTTAACAAATATGTAGTTTTTAGTTTCTACTTTCGAATAATATCTGTGGCCTAAATATTTTGAGATCATATAAATGCCTGTCTAAAGATTGTTTGCCTTGGAATGGTTAAACAGGTTGATCATATAAATGGCTCATTGTCTGATACTTAGTACATCTTGGTTTGGAATCAGCTAAAAAGTATCTTTAATCTAGTTCTTTGATCTTGGCCCTTAAGGTGATATTTGCAAATTTAATAAGTGAATGTGAAATATTCTACATGCCCTAATCTACTTTTTTTCTCCATCACCAAAGAGTATATAGGCAATGATCAATGCCTTCATGATTATATACAAACAAGGGAGAATGATATTTGAGTCCCTTGTAAAAGAATTATTGATATTTTTGTCATTTAAACATTGACCCTTGAGATTAACAACTTCTCCTGGACCGCAAGATAATTCATATTTTTTATTAACAATATAAGTCATTATTAACTTATTTATGTTTCTAAAAAAAATAAATTAAAATCTTGTTTTTCTTAATTTTATTTTTATATCTTTTCAATTGTACCTTCAAGTGAATTGCATATAATATTTGATTTATTCAACATATTTTGATTAATTACTTGAGTAGAATATCATGAAGTAAAGGTATAATTAAAATATACTTCTTTTGTTAAAAAAATGTAAGGTATTTTTGATTGAATTTTATCTCCCAATAAAGTAATTATTTACTTTTCAACTAATTTTATTTTTTTATATTTATCTTTATTAAACATTTTATAATAAATATAAACTTATTATCAATAGGGGTACTTTTGAAAAAAAAAAAAGCAATGATTACACATTGAAAAATAAAAAATGTCTTATATTTTTAAATGAAAAGAATATATATATATATATATATAATCATCTTAGTGTCTTATAGTTTAGATCAAGTAGGGGTTTTTAGAAATTTTTTATATTGTGGTTATATTTTAGTAAGAGGGAATATGATAATATTGTGTCAATTTTATTTTTTTAGTAGGGACCAAAATGTTAATTGTTCCTTGAACAGGCCCAGATGTCATGCTCCCTTATTTTTATTGTTAATTGACATCATATAAATTTTCTTTTTAACTTATGGGGAGAGCGAGACACATTACAATTTTATTTGATGTACATGTAATGAACAGGAATAATAAAGAAATAATAATTTGTATTTTAAATGAACAAAAATAACAAAGATTATTTGAATATGATAGCTAGTACGGCTCTGCCTCTTGCTAAAATGATTCATGAAATTATAGCTAGCATTTGGCCAAAAAAAAAAAAAAAACATCATAGCTAGTATTTTTGTGTACATCAAAGATTTTATTATCATCATTATTATTTATACTAAATAGACCCTAAAGGATAGCAACTGAATGGATTCCCGCAATTGACGACCTTTGGAAGACCGTCAGGCCTAAAAGAAATAAGAGAGAATACCACTCTTAGGTTTTTCTACTTTAATCATGTTTTGTATTAAGTTTCTACAATTTATTTTTTATAATTTTTCATCCATTATGTTTGCTTTGTTTGAGATATTAACCCCCCCTCTCTCTTATAATATGGAATATTAGTCTCTTTATTTGGAAAGTACTCAGAATGATCAAATCTGTCCCAAATGGTATTAATTTTGCTGAGGCTTAATATCATAATGCTTCTTTAATGCTATTCTCCCTCTCGTATGTTTTCATCTTAAGGAAATGAGATCGTTTTCTGCCTTTTAATCAGACCAAAATTTTTAATCAGATAGTTCTATAATATTCTTTTTCATGTCAATATTTTTTTCCCTAGTCATTTCATAGTTTTAATGATGTTAAGTTTACATCAATAAAATTAAAACTGTTTTTTGACTAACTTATGGTTCTTTTGATTTTTTTTTTGGCCAAAATGAAGGAAATAATTTCAAAATGAGCAAATAAAAGGGATAAAAAAACACTATGGAAATAAACTATAATAATTTAAAACAAAACACAATTAAAATATGGGAACATAAAGTGGCATTTTTTCAAGAAATAAATGCCCCTTCCGAGTGGACGATCTGAAAACCTCTGAAAGTCTAGCCCCTCCGTTGTTAGCTGTGGAGGTGGATAACATCATTAGTGGCAACAGACGAATTATTCATAGCTACGTTTTCAAGGGTATCAAGAGTGGAGGAATAGATGTCGGAAACGAGTACGAAGGGGTCGTATAAAGAAAAGCTTATGAGAGAGGAGGACAATGAGGAAAATGATCAATGTGAGAAGATAGAAGAATAAGGCAAGCGTGCTAATTATAGTAGTCCATATATCACATTCACCGAAGTCACATATTCAACAAGTGAGATAAAGGTGGACCTCTCCAATCCTTTGTGCCTTGACTTCATGTTGGATGATAAGGAGAAAGAAAGGATCTTTAAACCATTCTGACTAGAATTGCTTGTGAAATCAATGAGAAAACCCCCATCCTTGTTCTTCATGAGGAAAAAACTAAGCCAAATGTGTGCAAGGAAGGAATGGGTGAAAATTAGTGATGTGTAGAATGATTATTTTCTAGTGCAGTTCAAATACACTAACGGCTATAAGGAGGCATTGATAGGAGGCCCTTAGCTACTCCAAGATAACTACTTTTTTTTTTTTTGTATAAACCATCCGGTATTTTAGGGTATTTTGGGTTCATTACCTGCCCTAGACTAATCCGGATCCTCCACGAGGAGACCTTACGATAATAGTGAGGTACCGATGGGACGACTTCTTTGAGGTCGTGTTAATTATCGCGTCTGTCACTCTTCAAGGTTCGAACCCTCCCCCTAAAAAATGCTGGCAGTAGTGTTTGAAAACTCTATCGAGCGTCCATTGATTTCAAGATAACTACTTGACGGTGATGCGTGGAGATCATACTTCGATCCACATAAGAGAAGTAATAAGCCATATTGCAATATGGGCTTGCTTACCAAATTTGCCAGGTCCCTCGTATGATAAAAAGTCCTTGTACGTGCTACAAAAGACCATGGGCAAAACCTTGAAAGTAGACCCAATAAAATTGTAAATGGTATTTGGATCAAGGACTAACGAATAAGATCTTTGTAAATAGGATTGGATGGGATATTTAGGGTTTATTTTGTTTTGTTTTTTTTAGGAAATTTTTTTTTTGTAAATCAATTTTTTAAAATTATTTTTAATTAAAATTTATAGTATATATATTCTTGCATTTGAATTCTAAAAAGTTAATAATTATCGTATTCAATATATCATGTTTTATTGTAACCGATGTACTTGTATGGTTAGTTCTTAATCTACGTTGCGTGCATACCATATGCCTAGTTGGATAGGCTATATGATCAATTTTACAAGACTAAAACCTTGGTTATGGAGGGGGCAAAAAACGAAACACCTCTTTTTCTTTTACAAACTAATTTTACTCTTACAACTTCGTTTTGCATGAAGTTACCTTCACTTACTTTGAATGATGGATTATATATATTAGAGCCATCATGAGTTGATAGATTTTGTACCATTGCAAATACACTTTTGTTGTCATTTCAAAATGAGCTATTATCATTCTCTCTTTTACATGTGTTTCTTTCTTTATTTTTTATTCTGTTTATATTTTTATTTTCTTCTTTTATATTTATTATAAATATTTTTGCTTTTGGAGATTTTAATTTTTTTTCCTTGATCGAAAAGTGTTTGAAATTTCAATAAAAATTGTCACCCATTTCAATTTTTATTTTATCATATATTTTCTCAACATTTATTGTCTATTTTCCATTAACATATTAAATGGGTCACTATTATATACTCTCTTCAGTTTTTACAGGGATAACATCAGAAACTTATTAAAGTGGTTGAATAATATAATTTAAATTTCTATAATTAATCAGATATATAAGTTAAACAATATATTTTATTTGTTAAATAAATTTGAACAAATTTAATAATATTATATACTCCTTCCATTTAAAAATATAAGGTATTTTTTGAGGAGTTGAATGTTAAAAAATGTAAGACATTTTTAGTCGTTTGAGTGTAATCGTTGCCTTTTTTTTTCAAAAGTGTTCTATTGACAAATAACTTTATATTTATTATAGGATGTTTAATAGAAGTAAATATAGAAAGATAGAGTTAGTTTAAAAATAGGTAACTATTTTATTGAGGGTGATATTTAGTTAAAAATGTCTTATATTTTTTAATTGAGGGAGTACAAATTTATTAATAATTTAATTTTAAAAACCAATGTCTTTTATGATAATTTACATATTTAAAATTAATTCTGAATAAAATATCCAAACATTTTTAATTTTATCAAATTAATTTGAGAAAATAATATTCAAACATGATTATGTTATAACATAATTAATTAGAATCAAAATAAATCATATTAATTAATTTTTTATAATCAATTATATCCAACTAAATCTAAACTAGCCCTATGTAATTCATAAAAAATAGATATTCATTATTATTAAATACAGTATAGAAGTAAAATGTGTGGAACCAAAAATATCTTAAACTGGAGCTTCTTAGCATTAAATAATTTTGATAATTAATCATGTACACAAAATATCAAATAAGTTTTCTTTTGTCTTGCAGCCAAATTTTAAAATATATTGGCTCCTCTCCATGTTTTTCTTATTCTTCTTCTTCTTTTTTAAATAAAAAAAATTTAGGTGAGTTTGATGTAGAAACTCACAAAAAACAGAACGCATATTCATGTTCTTTTATTAAAATTAGATTTAGGTCTGGCTTGGATCTATTTAGTTAAAAATTGGGAGAATTATAACTAAATTCCATATAAAAATAATTATTATAAAATCTATTTACAATCAAACTAAATACCATTAATAAAGTTGTTAATAATTTTTATAGAAATTATCTTTTTAAAGATTATAATTTAATTTTCCCTTAAAAATTTAGGTTGAGACCGATAACTAGGTTTATTTTTTCGTTATTTGTATGTATCTCTGTGAAAAGCAACCCTGTTCGAGAACCAAGTGTAAACAACTCTCAGTTCTTTAGGGCATACGAGCCTGTTAGTACTTTAGTCGGCCCGTTTCCCGCTCAATCACTCAGACAATCTCACTACGACACTATCTCAGTCTCGTCTCACTCCCGGTGTTCAATCGCGTAAGTCTTCTCTGTTTCCTCTCCACTTAATTTTGTTCTTCCTGTTCAGCAAATATTTACTTTACTGTGTTACTTGTTTAATGGCTCAAGTATAATGATTGTACTGTGCTTGTTCCCCTCCTTTCATTTTCTTTCTCCAATTGCTTGATTTTACTAGTCATTGAAACCCTAATGTGTGATTGAAGCATTAGTTATATTTACTTGAAGTGCCCTCCTTACATTTCCCCTCCATATATCCAGCCTTTTAATCAGGATTTGCGGTGACTGGCCTTTTCAGGTTCAGGCTTGAGCCTAAAAAATAGCGTTCTGATGACAATGAATTCAGTGGCAGCGAGACTTGCAAAGCATCTAAGAGCGGCTGCTTCGACGTCTTCTTTTCATGGTTCTCTTTCTTTGTCCATTGCTTTCCTTTCATTCGAACTCTCTTTTCCTTTTCCTTTTTCCTTTTTGCCTTTCTATACAGTTGTCTTGCTTTGTTTCTTATTTGTACAAATGGTAATTTGAACTTGGAACGAGCATGAAGAAATTAACGATATGAGTTGTTCTGCCGGATCGGTCGCTCAAGGGCCCTGCCTCTGCAGGTAGTCTACATTCGATTGCACCTGAGGCTTGGGATCCCTTCTGCGGAACGGTCCATAGCCCGTCTTCTACTGTTGCAATCTGTTCTATCTCACCCCGAATTTCTTTAGAAAGCTTCCTTCCCTTCGGAGAACATGTTAGGTGTTTTTACTCCTCTTTTCAGATAGAGTATAGTAGATAAGGAGAGTCCGACATGTATATTCTCATATGAACATTTGCATTTTGGACGTTGATTGGTCAAGCACTTCCATAATTTTTTCGAGTTAGGATTATACTGTGTTTGGTTGACACACTCACCATTGCTACCTATATGAATTTTGGAAGAATTACGTCCAAGGACCACTTTAGCAAATTATTTACATATAAAGATTAATAACAAGTTTCAGTTACGTTCCCATTTGAACAACAGTCCATTTCATATTGGTTCTTATCTGTAAATAATTTCTTTGAGTAGCTCTTGGATGTGATTCTCTCATGAATCTAATTATGTGGTTTGGTTAGATCAATGCCTGGTGTAAAATGGGACTCAGCTACTATTGTGCCCCCCAACCCACCTGGGCCTTCTTTTTACCTTTTTCCATCATGGGTTTTGCTGGTAATGTAGGAGTAGGGGAATTTTGGCGTTCATTTGCTGGGCCACATAATATTGCGCTCTCTCTCTCTCTCTCTCTCGTGCGTGCACACCCTAATGGATTTATGATCAATTGATCATGTATCATACATAACATCGACCATTATACCAACATAATGTAGCACGGCCATACTCCAAATTGATACCCCCATTCTTCTCCTTCAGTGCTTGGGATTCTCCAAAACTTCCTTGGTCTTCACTCTTCTCCCTCAGTGGGGGAAGTTTGGCGTTCATTTGCTGGGCCACATAATATGGCTCTCTCTCTCTCTCGCGCACACGCACACCACGAATGATTTATGATCAATTGATCATGTATCATACATAACATCGACCATTATACCATCATAATGTAGCACGGCCATACTCCAAATTGATACCCCCACTCTTCTCCCTCAGTGCTTGGGATTCTCAAAAACTTCCTTGGTCTTCACTCATTACTCTCCCCCGCCTTCCACTTATGTCAATGTTAATTGCTTCTTGTCTATAGTCTTCATCATGCCTTTCTTGGAATAAGATTTTTGGGCTGAATTATCATTTGGCCTTGCAAACCCATTAGATACTAATGGTTATTTAATTATTGGATTTAGCAGTGGCTATGAAAAGAAGTGGGAGGTTATGTTACTCAACAACATCTAAAAGTGATGATGATGAACGTTTAGATGATAATGAGAATCCAAAGAACAATGCTATTGATGAAGAAGTTGATAATTTTCTTGGCAATCAGCCTGCTTGGCAGCTACAGGGTGTGGATCCAAAGAGGGGTTGGAACTTCCGAGGTGTGCACAAGGTATTGAATACTCAAAATTTAGCAATCTGCTATTATAGTTAGACATCTCTAAGGATGGATTTGGATTAGGTAACCACAGAAAAGTGAGTTCATCTATTTTATTGGTGCTGTGAGACCTATTGTAGGTTGTTGTCACTGTTCTGGTCTAATAGAGTTCATTCTTTTGCATGACTTGAATATAAAACTAGTTTTCTAATTATCATAAGGTTTTTTTTTTTATGAAGCTTGAATGTTTGAGCAAATAGTTTGAATCAATTTTGGAAAATAACTGTACAATAGCCGATTATACAGAAATTCTCAGCGATCAAAGTTTTAGAAATAAAATGTCACTCTTCCTGAGCATAATGTAATGATCTGTCTGCATTTTTCACTTGAGGAATTATTTAACGTACATGTAATGATATGACACAGGCCATCATTTGTGGAAAAGTTGGTCAGGCTCCTGTTCAAAAGATACTGAGAAATGGGAAGAATGTCACAATCTTTACAGTTGGGACAGGGGGGATGTTTGACCAGAGAACTGTGGGGGCAAAGGATTTGCCAAAACCTGCTCAGTGGCATCGGATTGCTGTGCATAATGATGCTCTCGGGGCTTATGCAGTACAACAACTTGTAAAGAAGTAAGTGCAAAAATTTAGATGATCAAATTTTGAGATTATCTTGAATAGATGATACATTCTGGTGTGAGTGTTTCTTTATTTTTTTTTTTGGCCTCATGCTTGAAGCTTCAATGCAGCTCTTCAGTTTATGTTGAGGGTGAAATTGAAATAAGAGTTTACAATGACAGCATCAATGGTGAAATTAAAAGTATTCCAGAGATATGTGTTCGACATGATGGTACATCAATCTATATTCTATATTTTCCTTGTATATTAAAAAAAAAAAATTCTAAGACGATATCATATTGGCACCCACTATTTGATTTGTTCCTTTGCTGCTTATCATTTCTTTTCATTCTTAACCTGATAATTAGGATTATTGATTCATTAATATGCAGTTTTTACCCTTCTTTTCCTTTTTCATTTTTTGGGTTAGATTACATAATTTTTTTATGACTGTAGATTCATGGTTCTCACGGAATTAGTATAACTGAAACTTGCCAAAGGGATGGTAGAACTTGCTTGTTTGAAATTTGAATCTACACTGGCAAAGTATATAAAGTACTTTTGTTAAAGAAAAGGTCGAAATTAAAATTATTGGTGATATCACTCATTAACTGTTTTTTGCCTCTGCAGTAACAAAGCATATGAAATACTTATGTTTAAGTCTTTGAGAAAGAAACCAAAAGAAGTATTGATTTTATCAACTCTGTTCTAGTAACCTGGGTAAGGGGCATCAGATGCAGAAGTAGAAAATCTCAAGCATGTTGTCCAGGATTGGGATGAGAGCTTTATGGGGCTCTGATATATGGGAACTAGGGGAACATGGGATCAATACTGAAGTTCAAGCTGAACATTTGCTGAAATAGTTATGCTGTTGCAGCAATCAGCGTCTTCAAATATGGAAAAAAAATACATCATTTGCCAATCGTTTAATTAGTGGATGATAAAATACAATTTTACTCACAGTAATTCTTCAGTTTAAAGCGCTAAATATGTATTATTCACATGGTGAAGCAATTTTTTTGTTTTTTGGGTGGCTTATTGGATTGCATCTTTCTTGGCATACACTTTTAGTGGCAATTTGACGTGGTGTAAGAGTATGGATTATATTAGGGTTCAGAGGATCCTGAACTCCCTGAAGTAGGCAAAACCATTGAAATTTATTGTAGTTAGCATCAGTATTGTAATCTTTTGTTTGATTCATAACAAACTGAAAGTTCAGCTGCTCTCAAACGCTTGTTTCTGCAGGGAAAATTCGGCTTATAAGGAGCGGAGAAAGCTTGAGTAAAATTTCCTTGGATGATCTAGCTAACTCCCTTTGACCATAGTTGTAAGTGGTGGTATGGTTTAATTTAGTGGTTTCAACATGCTTTATGCTCTATGGAAGATACCCTTGGGATCATCAAACTTTTTCGTTACCGTTAATCAATGAGTTTGTGTGACAGAAGAAGGAATCCGTAAGAATGAAAAGCAGAAGCGGCACTGATGTTCCATTTTTCTTTTTTCTTTTCTTTTTCTTTTTTGATACAGAAAAATTTAGGAAGTTGGGTTCCAGGATTGCCAGAGTTAGGGCATACTTCCAGATTCAAAAACTGTTTACAGAATTATTTATTAATTATCTACCAAAGAGTTCTCATATCAGCAGCGGAATTCATTTATTTGATTGTTATTCCTTAGATATCCTTCAGCCTTCTGTAGTTTCATTCTACATCAAGTATGATGCTAATGGACACATTGAGAAGGTGCATAAATTCTTTATCAAATGAGTTGTATTTCCAAACGTCAAATCAGTCTACTAAAAGCGCATTTTGTTGATGGAGCCATGTTTCTATTTTGAATAACAAAGCAACCTTCATTCGAAAGAATGGGAACAAACAATAGTCTAAGGAAACAACAAATAAAACAGACGGGATGAAAACCACCCAAAGAAAGACCAACTAGAAGGGTGTAACATGAAACAAGTTAGAATCATTACAAAGACTAGGCCAGCTTAACAAGGTAGTTGGCAATTCTATTATCTTCTTTATTTACAAAATTTAAATTAACATATCATTGTCAACTTGAAAGCCGTCTTGGAGCCATGTTTCTCGTTGCTTTTTATTAATGTATATTATAAAATGTGAAATTTATGGCAAATTGTATTAACATCTTATTCAAATTTTGCGCAACTTATCAAAATTTTCCTATAAAACATAAAATTAATTTTAACATGTTACTTATAAGATGTGAATAATTGCCAACTAGTCTAACTCAGCCTCGAAGCCCAAATTGTTTTCAAAGCTTGTTTAATTGTGAAAAAAGCAAAAGCAAAATCTAAAAGTTGGTCTGATTCAATAAGATATAAATTTTTATAAAAAACAAAGGGTATCATTTATATCTCATGCTGAGGTTGAGTTTGTTAAAAATTAAAAAAAAAAACATAATCTTCGAGTCTTATAGCTTTTTCAGGTTCTACTTTTAATTCCTATGATTTTTTTTTCTAGAAGCATTTTCAGTCCTCACAAGGACAAAGACACTAAAAATACTGAAACTATAGGACTAAGTAAAATTGGGAATAACAATCGGGTTTGGAGGGTGTCCGTTTAAATTCATTTTTATAAGAGTTTGAGCTTAAAAAATAATATTTTTTAAATTGAGCTTTTAAGTGCGGCCTTGATAAGTCCTGAAAAAGGCTCGAGCTCAAGTGGCCTTTTTAAGTCTTTTTTTTTTTTTCTAAAAAAATAAAATATTTTTAATTTTTAAATTGAATTTAAACTTTAGAATAAATGTTTATACTTTAAATTAGAATTTTTATTATTTATTTTTAATTTTTTAAACATTATAATTTGTATTTTTTAAAAATGTATGAAATATTATAATTAAAATTTTAGTTTTTAAAATTTTAAAAATAAATAATAAATAATAAGGCTTACGGGCTTGACCTTGAGCCTTTATATAAGGGCTGAGTTTTAAAAAATGAGATATTTTAAAAAAATTGGGTTTAATGGCTCGAGTCCTTAAGGGCTAGGCCCATAAGGGCTGGGTCTCATCCGTTTTTCAACTCTAGACCTAAGTAACAAATGTCACTTAGTCTTGTTGAAGCCATAGAGATTGGAAACATTGAAAAAAATTATATAGACTAAAAACAAAATTCGAAAATTATAGGTGCAATGATTGTGTTTTTCTTGAAATTAAATAAAAAATCATCTTAATTAACACTTAAATTGGTAGGAAATATTAAGCTAATAATAAAAATGCTGCTAGAAAAAATTTATTTTCAGTTTTTTATGAGCTTTTTGGAGAAGCTTATCAAAATAACCTTTTTCCAACACATCCCTTATGCGTTTAGATTAAATTTTTCCAACAACTCTCTTATACTTCCAATAACTTTTCATGTTTGATCCAATTAAAATCAATTTTTAACCTTAAACATACGAATTTTGCTATTACCTTTGAAGTTTTAAATTAAGATGTATTATTATTCTACTACTCTTCACCTATTTGTCCCTTTTTTTGTTAAAAAAAAAAATTTCAGGCGGCTTCTCCTTGTTCCTAATTAACCGTTTTAGAATTTGGTTTCATCTAGAATTTGAAAACTCGTTTTGCACCCCTAATTTCCTATTGCGCACATGCTAGATTAATGCCCAGCATAAAATGGGACTAAGCTAGTATTGCACCCCAGGGAATGTACCAGTGGGAGAATTTTGACTATCATTTGCAGGGCCACATAAAATTGCTCTCCCCCCCCCCCCGGCACGCGAACAACAAGTCTTTTGCTTAAAATACTGATGGAACATTGATGACTAAACCGTAAAGATCTATCCTTTTTTTTTTTTTAACCAACATTATACCAACAAAATGTAGCTCCAATGAAACTATTGTCACTTGCTGTATACACTGAAAGGAAAGCTACAGATCATAAATCAAACCACCGTAACGTGGGATACGCTCCACTATTCTCCCTCAGTGCTAGGGATTCTGAAACACTTCCTTGTCCTTCACTCATTCACTACTCTCCCATGACCTCCACTTATGTCAATGTTAATTGCTTCTTGTATACAGTCTTTCGGTTGTTACAGGCCTTTGCAAGTTCAAGCTTGAGGCAAAATAACAGCTTTCCTTAGATCATAAGCTCAAGCTCAAGTTTAGGCTTGATCAAATCTGTCACGCCTCAAAAATAGACGGTGATAAGTACGGGTCCGAATTACTTTGCATATTCTCGTAAGCCTCAACATGAAAATTCATTTTATTTTTTTTAATAATCAGGTTATATGAAATTCTAACACTTTTAATACTAATTGACACAGCAAAGCTTCAATATTTTTGTAAAAATTTTGGCGGAACTTCTACTGTAAATAGGATCTCCTGAAAATTTTACAGCACAAAAATTTTCACAAATATAATATTAATTAGGAGCTTAGCTCCTTTCAATTAGCAAACAGTATATAAATCAAAATAAAATCTTAGCAATAATCTATGTGGAGCAACTAATCTTTATTCTAAATTAAAATACATAAGACTTAAATATTTATATAAAAAGGTAACAGCACCAAACAAAATTTTCAACCAATATAGTTGTATTGCCCTTCAAAAGCTAGCAGTAAAATCAGCGTCAACTAATAAATTTGAGACCAAAATAAATTTTTCAGTGAATAGCATCTCCAAAATAAAATTTAAAATAATTAAAATACTAAACTAAAATAATCTTGTAAAATAATTGAAAAGATGATAATTCAATATAATAACTTTAAAAATCTATAAATCATAATGATAACCATAAAATGAAAGTGAATTGAAAGCACTTTATTCTATCATGCTTAAAGAAAATGAATTACTCACACATAATTTAAAATAATACACTTGGTAATTGAAACCATTGGAATTTTAAATGAGAGAGTTAATCAAAATTTAAAAATTTTGAGGACTTAATAGAACAGGTAACAAACGTAGACACACAATTCATGAGGATAAATAACTAAACGCGGTTTACACCATAAAAATAAATATGGACACACAGTTCACGAGAATAAATAACCAAGCCGTCCAAGCGTAGCTAAAGCCACAAAATAAATGTGGAGACACAGTCCACGAAGATAAGGCTAACTCAACACAGCTCAAGGCCACAAAATCAAACGCGAGTACAAAGCCCACAAATAACAAACTTGAGAACAATGTCCATAAGACAAACTAGCTAGTTATTAATCACAGCATGCTACGAGCTAACAAAACTGTCGTTAGCAACAGTGTTCTATTTAGAGTCCTCTTGAAAATTACATTTCAAACATGCGAGAAAAATAATTATTTCTGCAATAAAATTTTCATTATCAATGTCAAACTCACATAAATTGTTTCAAATCTCAAAATTTTCCAAAATAATACTTCATAGCTAATGTACAGGCTTGCATTAATTGAGTAGTCAAGAAATTTCAGAGTTTAATAAACAAAAATATCTTCATCAATCTTGAAAATATATTTGTTGAGGAAAAATAAATGCACATATCATAATTTAATTATCCTTCATTAATATTCCATAATTTAAAAAAAACTAATATAATTCATAAGAGTAAAATATGCTAATAAAAGACTATTAAAAATAAATTAAATGGGATATTATTCACTTACTTAAAATCTTCAGAATTTAAATTTCTCCTATACCAAACTCCCTATAAATCATATTAAAATTTTATTTAACCATCAACCAGTACAATAATTCATTTTTTCAAACTCACTTACCACCAATATTAAACTATAATACATTTAGAACCTTTTTTTTTTAAAATCCTCACTAGCATTCGGTCAAGCCACCAAATATAAATTATTTTCAATCTACTCATAAAAATGCTAGCATTCAATATTTCACCAACAACTATTCATCTTCAAAAATTCAAAAATCACATTATAAATTTCATAAACAATTATTCTTTGCAACATTCGAATTAAATTTTCATACTTCTCACAAGAATTAATGAATCTCCATAAATGTTGAAAAATCAAGTTCAATTTCTGCTAATAAGCACCTCAACAACAATCTTATAATCATCATTCCTCAAGTTTCATATCTTATCTCTTCTAACATAATCCTAACTAATTTTTCAGTATCAACCAATTTAAAGAAAATGAATTTAACTCAAAAGTTGACCCATATGTATATTAATATCAAGCTTTAAAATAATTTCCAGCTCATATTGAATTTCCTTCTCTCTACAATAGTGCGGTGGTGGCAGGACACGTATAAAAAATACGCAACCTCACGCACAACAATAACAGAACACACTTACACTCAGAACCAACAACAATGAATAGGTTTGAATCTCCTCACCTCAACCCAGCTAAACGAAACAGAAAAGGAGCATGATGAGGCAATCACTATGTAGTCAAATTGAGAGTATAGGTGGGAATACAGGTGGGCCCAGCCCTTAAGGGCCTAGCCCTTACAGGCTCTGTTATCTATTTTTAGTCTCTTTTTTAAAGCCCGGCCCTTATGTAAAGGGCTCAGGGCTAGGCCCGAAAGTTCTGTTAAAAAAATAAAAAAATTAAAATAAAATAAAATATTATAAATTAATTAAAATATTTTGAAATTTAAAAAATTAAAATTCACACAATATTTTAAAAATTAAACAACATATTTAGAAATCTAAACAACACACATTCATCAATCAAAACCCAAATCCTCTTCATCCTCATCATCTACAAATAAAACA